TCTGGGGTGTCCCCGGGGGACTGCGGGCGGCCCCCCCCGCCGCCTGCTGCCCTGTCAGTTATTCTCTTCCCCCCCGTCTCCCCCTCTTCTCTCCCCTCGGTGCCCGCAGCAATCAGGACGACTACCAGCTGGTTCGCAAGCTCGGGCGAGGGAAGTACAGCGAGGTGTTTGAGGCCATCAACATCACCAACAACGAGAGGGTCGTCGTGAAGATCCTCAAGGTGAGTGTCCCGTTGATGGTGCAGGGGCTTGCGGTGGCTGGAAGTGAGGGTGAGAGGAGCTGGGTTGCAGGGCCAACCAGGGTGGCCCTGGGTGAAGGGTCTCCTGGCCTGATGAAGGGTCTCCTCCTTCACCCTAAAACTCTTGTATTCTCGTTAGGGACATTGGGACAGCAGGTTTGGAAATGGATTTGGTGTCCCGTGTGCTGTAGCAATGTTTTCATGTCTCCTGTCCAGCATAGCTCTGGACTGGGAACTCTGGAGGAGGAGAACTACAGGTCCTGACGTTTGAACAGCGTTTCATGTGCTGCCTGTGTTTGGTAAATTGTATCTGGCAGTGCCTGTCTAAAACAGCCCAGGAACTGCCATGTCAACAGGAATGCAAAGTCTGGAGGGGAAATCCTTCTGTTAACATCTGGGCAGCTGGCACGTGGCCTTTTCAGAGCTGGGCTGTGGGATGCTCAGCAGTCAAAAAAGCAGGCAAAATTTTATATTCAGTCTTTTAGAAGATCTTACACGAAAAAACAACTTCACCACAGGCAGGCCAGCCAAAAACATCACAGAAACTGAAGGAGACTGAAAGAGGCCATCTGAAGTTTGGCAACATCAGTGACGTGTATTCTGGTGTGTTGGCCCTGGTTGGGGTCAGGCTGTGGGGACCTTCACGCAGCAGTAACAGGTTGTAGTTTGGGTCTGCTGAGCGCAGGGGTTACTGTGTTTGGCGCTGAAGCAGCGTGCTCACAGCGAGCTGTGGGAACTCTCCTAGCAGCAATGTGTATTGGTGATCTGGGGCTAGACAGGGGTGTTAAAAAACCAGAAATGAAAGGTTAGAGTTGTGGTGCTTTTGGTTTTGGCTTGCCTGACACTTGTGGCTGTCACTTGTTGGACCATCAACGCTTGTCACTTGTTCCCCAAGAGCATGTGGGAGCCGGTGTCTGACCATGGATGTTCTAGGAATTTGGGCACATGTTGATCTGCAGCGTGAAGGGAGTCTGAGCTTAACCTGCCCTTGCAACCACTGAGGCCAGCAGCTCCCCAGGACGTGGATCTCTCTGCAAAGCCTTAAGGCTTTGCTGGTTTCACTCCAGTAGTGTGGCTAGCTGTCTCACTGTGTCTTTGCCGAGATCCTCACTTGCTCTCAGTGTCTGCTTCCTTGGGATCTGCCTTGGCTTCCCAGAGAACTGTTCACAGTTTGTCTGGCCAGCACTCCCAGGAGAGGCATGATCTCCTGCCTCGGAGGAGGTACGCACACCCCTGCTTTGGCTCTGGCCAACGTGGTGGCCAGAAGAGCCCCTGTGGCTGGGCCTGATGGCAGGGTAGAGTCATGAGGCTCACATGTCTTCGCCGAGCTGAGTTTCTCTGGCATGATGTTTGGGCTTCCCCTCCCTTCAGATGCTTTATGTATTTTGGGGTTTTTTAAGTAGTGGGAGGTGGGATTTTTTGCTTCAAGGGAGTAGTCAAAGGCAGCCAGTGCAGAGCTGGGTTGTACAGCAAGATGGGGAAACTGTGCACTTCTGCGTGCTGCTCTGGAGCCCCTGATGGTCTCTTCAGGGCTGCTGTGGTTTGTTGAGACCTTAGGACTTGTCCCACATAGAAAGGTACCATGAGGCTAAGAAGAAACTGCAGGGAAAGTCACCAGAAATCTTCTCCTTGCCTCTTCCCAGCTTAAAGAGCCTCCCCTGGAGCAATACTCCTCTCTCTGTGGCAGCAGAACTCTGTCATGTCTGGGGAGCCTGTCAGCATTGGACTGTGAGTCAGCTGGCAAGAGTCATCTGAGGGTGGCTGGGTGCTTCTTCTCCTCGAGGCTTGAGTGTGTTGCCTTAATACCCTCTGAGCAAAGGACTGGATTGTCCCAGATTTGAAGCGGATGGTGTTGCCACCAGTTCCCCTGGCTCCCCCCACTTGCATTAACATGCTCTGCGAGTGAGCAAGGAAAAGCAGAAAGTCCAGATAAATAAAGATGAACTTTTTACTCAGTGGAAAGTGGGTCAGTGAAAAGTGAGTTTCAGGGCACTGTGTTGTGTACGTTATGAAAACCTGTGAAGTGTGGCAATAACATTGCTCTCATCTGGGGAAAGTGCTTCTGGTTTCCTGTAGCTAGACTCAAACTTAATTGCAAATGTAACTGCGTGTACCTACAGCGGAGCCTTAGCGAAGAGCCTGGGTTTCTCTGTTCCTCCTAATTCAGGCTGGATCCTGTGGGGTGGGAAATGCAACCAAAAGTCTTCAGGTGTTTGTGTGGCTCTAAGGATGGGACAAAGGAGAAGACTGTTGCCAGGCAATGGGTGCATCTGTTTATCACAGTTGCTCCTTTCTCTTTGAGGTCTTCAGAGAGGACAGTTTGTGCTGTGTTAGAGTGATTTTTAGCTAGAGTCACTGTATTCATATCTGTACCTCATGGGAGGTGACTGGTGTCTCTTCCCAGCCTTGCTCCTTGAAGCAGCTTATCCTAACTGAGCTCAAGTTAGTGTGTAGCAAGTATTTCCCCTGCTTCTTTTTATCCCCTTCTTTGGCGTTGCGGTGTCTCTTCCCAGCCTTGCTCCTTGAAGCACCTTATCCTAACTGAGCTCAAGTTAGCGTGTAGCAAGTATTTCCCCTGCTTCTTTTTCTCCCCTTCTTTGGCGTTGTGCTACCTGAACATCTTGTACCCTCCTCTAGAGAGGTCAGGAAATTTTACCCTTTCTCTGATGCAGAACTGAGCCACAGAGATTTCCTGTGTGACTTTGGGCAAGTCCCTTAGCCTCAGAAAAGCTAAGACTAGAGCATAGGTCCTAGTCTAGTACTGCATGAAGGAGATAACTGCTCTTCCTCTTCTGTCAGCCACTTGCCTTGTTTGTTTAAGTGCCCTATGAAGACTTCAGCATTGGACAAGGCCAGTGATTGGTATCACAGTGTCCCAGGCCATTTGGTCTTGCATAAAGCAAGATGCCCCATTTCCTTGGCCAGTACCCGGCACTGCCTTTCACTGCTACCCCAAGTGCAGACAGGGCATAATCCTGGGGGAAAATGGGATGTGCTCATTCCACTAATTGTGGTCATAACATGTCAGCAAAGGAGCAGAATTAAGATTATGCAGGTGTCTATAACATTACCATTTCCTGGGTCAAGTGCCTTTCTTTGCAAATACAATGCTCTTAATGTCACTTTTTCCAGGAAAATTCTGCAGGTCGTTTTAAAAAATGCAAACCAAGCAAGCAGGTTGCTTCTCACTCCACTGCAGCAAGATATCAAGGTGTGCCTTGTAGGACAGTGTCTGCAAAACAGTGAGGCAGGAGCCCTGGTTTGCTGCGCAGACACCCCCTGCCAGGTGTCCTCCAAAAGCTTTTGTCTTGAGAAGGAGGCAGAGGGCAACTCCCCATCTCTTCAACTTGTTCAGAAAGCAAAGATTCAGCAAAAAAAAAGCCATGAGGCTGAAGTCACCTTGGTAGGTCGTGGAGGACTCTGCACTGTACTGACCTTCCTGCCCCTCATGGGTAGCAGGGCATGGCGTTAGCCAGCAGCTGTGCTCCTGCAGTCCCCAGCTGGTGTAGGAGGCTCTTACAGGCTTTTTGATCTGGCTGGCCTTGGTACAGCTGTGGACATGCTTTCTGCGTACTTAGGGGAGGGCCAAACCAGGAAAAGGGAATGTGTGAACATGTCCTGTATGTGCTTTTGTGTCTTGCTTAAATTTGATGCTAAGGTTTGACTCCCAGGATGGGCTCTGGCATTCCTCGGCATGTACAAAGGAAGTTTAAGACGTCTTTGTTTCCAGTGAGTCATGTATCGTCTACATCCAATGCAGGTATCTAAAGCACAGCTCTGCTCTTTCATATCTAACCACTCAGATTTAGATTTTTGGTGGGCTGCTGAGGTCAGTCTGCAACCTTTGTGCTATCTCTGATGAGTTTCTCATTTCACTTTTCTGCTCATGCAGCTCCAAAGTGTCTGCCAGGCTCCTTGTGTGCCTTCAAAGTGAATCCTCCATTCTGGGGTATCTGTGTTCCTGGGGCATGTGAACAGCGTTGCAAGTTGCCACTCTAAAAGCCAAAGATAAACTTCTGACATCGCTTCTGACTTCTGCAACCTTTGTGCTATCTCTGATGAGTTTCTCATTTCACTTTTCTGCTCATGCAGCTCCAAAGTGTCTGCCAGGCTCCTTGTGTGCCTTCAAAGTGAATCCTCCATTCTGGGGTATCTGTGTTCCTGGGGCATGTGAACAGCGTTGCAAGTTGCCACTCTAAAAGCCAAAGATAAACTTCTGACATCGCTTCTGACTTCTGTGGCTGATTCTTTGCGACAAGAATGCTCCTGTTAAAAGTTACCTGCAGGTCTGGCTGTTGGTGAGCTTCAGCTGTATGGTAGCGTCCTTCACAGCCCAGTCCACCAGTACCACCCTGCAGAGAAAGACCTGGGAGTGCTGGTGGGTGACCAGTTGACCATGAGCCAGCAATGGGCCCTTGTGGCCAAGGCCAGTGGTCTCCTGGAGGGCATGAAGAAGAGTGTGGCCAGCAGGTCAAGAGAGGTTCTCCCCCCCCTCTACTCTGCCCCAATGACGCCACATCTGGATATTGTGTCCAGTTCTGGGCCCCACAGTTCAAGAAGGACAGGGATCTTCTGGAGAGAGTCCAGTGGAGGCTACAGAGGGGCTGGAGCATCTTTCTTATGA